TCGTAAAAGCTGAAGCTTCGTTTCAGACATGTCTAAGTATCTTTCAGCAGACGCCATAAAAATGGTTTGAAACAAACAACACGTTGGAGACTTAACATTGCAAAACGAGAGCCTTTTCCGCGGACGCTTTGCTTACCACTTGATAAATAATTGAACATTGCCTGGCACGTTAAATCGTTTTAGATATCTCAGATGAACTCCGCGCAACTTAACGCTCCACAAAACTCGTTTACTTTCAGCGAGTGGCGGAGGTCCTCGAGGAGGACACGCCGCGAATGAAAAGTTCGGCCAAGAAGCGGCCCTCTTTCGTCCGCCGAATATTATCTCGGCGACAGCGCGGGCGATTCGTTTGCCCGGCGGTAAATCCGCGAATTAAAGAACTTATTCCATTTGGGCAGCCAAAGGGGTGTGAACGCTTTCGCGTTCGTATTATCTCCCGGCCCGGCCGTGGGTGAGACGGGGCGACGGGGGGCGAAAAGGGAAAGAGAGCGTAACCGGGCAGGAAGGCGAGGACGAAGGACGAGGGCCGGGAATGACCTGGCGAAAGGCGCGAGAGGAGGAAAGAGATAGCCCAGGCGGGAGGGGGTGAAAGAGGGTGCGTGAGGGAGAGAGAGAGAGAGAGGGAAGGGGGGGAGAAAGAGAGAAGACGCGTTTAGACGTTCGTTCCGCTGGTAACAAAGATAACTCTATGCAATAAAAATGATTCAAAGTTTCCCGCGGCGGATGGCGGTTCCGATGGCGGAGCGGTTGACAATGGCGCGTCTTTGTCTCCGTCCCGTGCCGTCGCACCACCGTCCCCCCGACCCGCCGCCACTTTTGCCGCGGCCGCCACCCCCTCGTCCGTATCCTGCGACACCTATCTTCCGGTTTAAAGTCCCGGCGTGCGCGCCAGAGAGGAACCTCGCTAACTTTTATTATTTACGACCGATATTTCAGCCCAGGCCCGAGCGCGTACGCCCGCGTAGCGCGAGCGAGCGAGCGAGCGAGCGCCAAAGTAGCCGCCACCTCGACGGTCGCGATGTTACATTAACCGTAATCGATGCCCCCGTGGGAGTCGCCCGGAGAAAAGTCCACGAGATCGTCTCCGATCGCGTCGACCCGTCAGAATCCCGAGTTATCGCAGCTTCATATCAGTGAACTTTATGTCGTACTGGAACACCTACTGCCGCGCTAAGAAGATTGACAGAGTGAGATAGACAAGTGGGCACCATCTGTATCTCTCCAGTTGTCACTCGTCAACGATTTTCTATCTAAAGTCAGCGGCACGCGATGCTCTTTTGCTTGCTTGCTAGTGAGAGCTAATCAGGATTCCACGTGATAGGACAGATGAGTTAAGATTGCATCCTGATTCTCTCACGTAGAGACCGATATGGTTACCACATGTCCAATTAAGGTTGGCACAATCCCAATAAATAGTAATATTTCGGACAGCTATATCTGTGGTTGTCATACTCACAGCGGCATGATAAGTAATGGAGACGACTTGGCGAGTGTTGCAATACAAAACAATGTAGATGCCCTTGCTATTTATACGAAAATTTATACGTTTTAATTTTTATTATCTTTGCCTCAGCCGGTCTTTCCGCGCTCTAAAAATCTAATCGATGACTATTCACTGTTTTCAGTGATAATCCACCAATTGACTTTTAGAGACTTGGCTTTCATCAGCAAAGGTGTACGCCAGCAAACCAGTAAGCGAAAACGCTCGTGTGCCGTTGGCTTTACTTATGCAATAGAAAAATCGTTGATCAATCAGAACTAGAAAGAGATGGAGATGGTACGCACTCTGTCCACATCTTCTCTCTATTTGAGCAGATAGTCCAATATATTATAGACGCGTCTCACCACTCTCCCCCGCGTCGTTTGACTCGCAAGTGCGCGTCGACGATAAGCGCATTATGGTAAGAATGACCGAGATAAGAATTTGACGCGATTCCCGACGTCAGCCGGCGAGACGTTTAATCGCGACGTGTCGCGACGCGAGGTAAAACGAAACGTTACGTCGCATTATTGAAACGACAGCTGAGTGAAATTAAGCGAGCACAGCAGGTCTTATCGAATCAACGGATGAACGGGCGACGATCGGACCCTCCGTCCGCACTTATTCTCTCGCTGCCCCTCGTGGCCGCCTTTATCTACCTATACCTATACGCGTGTACATATACGCGACCCTCTCACCCCCGACCAAGGGTCTGAATTTGCATTTTATTCACAGTCGTGGAACCCGCGGGTCCGTCCGTGCCGGGCAACGGCTCCTCTCCGCGGCGCGGACATTTATTTTAATTAAATTACTCCGGAGCGTCGAACAACCCATTTCCTATAAATTATCCCCTCGCCGCTCTTTTGCGCTCGCGCGCCGAGGCATTAACGTGGCCGCTGATCCCGCGGTGCCATTGAAATGAAATAAAAGCACCGGCGCGGCCAGCGAGAAGCGGAATGTGCCGCTTGACCAATTCTCACCGCGATCCCGTCGCTCCTCTTTCATTTAGCGCAATCATTTCCCGCAAGTTGCGCTCCGGCACCCTCGACTTCCCGAGCGCTTCGGGAAAACCAATGTTCCCTGCGCCTTTTCGAATTTCTTTCTGTATTTTCGGTTTTTCGATTATGCGTCTACGTTGCTCTCTTAAACTCAATCAGTGGATTGTCATCGCTGAAAAGCAGTGACTGTTACTGTGCTTTTCAGTGACAATCCACTGATTAGTTTTAAGAAAGTAGCTAATATATGCCTGATTAAACTATCGCGGTGTGCGAAGAAAAAGTTAGAAAGAATCATAGATGCATTCAAAACTTGGACAACTCTTTGTCGGGATGTTTAAGAAAGTGAAATAAATCCAAACTATTGACTTCTCCTAATTATTTGATCGTGATTTTACCATGCATTTACCAGAAAACAACTACCGTGTTTTGCGTCACGTGGACATCGATTTTGTAGACTATACAACTTTGTAAAATCTGTGTCTATATGTATAAAGTGTCCTACAATTCCATAATTTTAATGACGTACGGAGATATCGAGCTCCGAAAAATGGCATTATGAATGCTATTGATCGAACCACTGGTTAGATTGCAGAAAATGAAAGAGCGTCAGATAATAATTCACTTAATCCACCTAAAACTTTCTAAGGTTCACAGACAAATGCAGGACGATGCCATTAGCATCGACCATTGGGAAACCTTTCAGTCGACCCCAACTGGGATCCATCGAACAGTGCATTCACTTGGCCAAGCGCCTTTGGTACCCGCTTGTAAATCATTTTGGTAAAGCGATTCACCATTCTGGACGTATCAGTGACAGAAGAATTGTCTTTTTGTTCGGAAAGGTATTGGTTTTGGAATTTTTAGAGCCCGATTTCTCTGGAACAGGTGCACCATGAGACTGACATATTTGCGATCATCTTGACGAGACCTTCCGGTTGGTACTTGCTTCGTGACCAAAATCGAATGCGAAAGAAACGGGCCGATCTTGTTCTCACTCTTTTAAGGTAAAAACGAGCTTGTAATACTTTTCAAATGGACGCTGATGACTGCAACATTAGTACATACAACACATGTATGTTGTATCTATGTATAATTACTTGGCTCTCTCGTAAAGGATGAGGGAGAACACTTTTATTAAACGCGCGACGTAATGTCCCTGAACGAACTAAATTATTTGACTCATTTAAAAAGCATTGCCGATTAATATGCCCACTCTTTCGACGTGAAACCGCAAAGAATAACTGGTTACGTTTTCTATTGGCCGCGGCCATTTGTTTCGAAGTCGAAAATAAACGGAGAGAGAAGATAAAGATAGGCAAGCTGATGCCACGAGCATTTCTTTCTCCTATGCCTTTTGGAAAAGAAAGACGGAGCTTTCAAGCATTTGCAGCATGAATCATACTTCCGCATTTCAAACAAGAGTCTGATCTACAGCTCTTTGCGTCCAGAAACATTCTATTTTATACAAGTAGATTGAAACGCTTAAAAAATGCATCGACAATACACGATTGTACAAAGTGTAATGTACAATTTATCAGCTTGCCCAAATTTTTTAAACGTACTTATTGACTATAAAATAGAATGTTTCTTATCAGAGACCAAATGGCACTGGTTATACCGAGTTACTCCTAGAGAATTTCTAGACATACTAGTTAGACTCTTTACAATCTCGACATTTTTGTCTTAGGATTCTCGTTTTACCTTAAACGTGCTCTCTAAAAATCAATCGGCGAATTTATCACTGAAAACAGTGAATAGTCACTGTTTTCAGTGATAATCCACACGGAAAAGAATACTGTTGAATTAAGCAAAATGAAGTTGCTCAAATTAAAACGTTAACGTCACGGGCTGCCGCAAACAATTCACTCCCTTGTATTTGCTATGGATTTTAATTTTAAGCATTCAGCTAAATATCCAGATTAGACAACAATCTGATATTTTTCATTTATTAATACCGATGTTGTTTCAACGATTTTAATTCAGTTACACTGATCTTGTTGCAACAGCATTCTTTTTTTTTCCGTGAACCGATTGACTTTTAGAGAGTGCCATTGAAATTACTCTGTGTAAGTATATATGAGTTTTCATATTCTACTCTACTACGGTTTACAAACCAACTTGTCATTTTGTATTTGGCAACGAGCCACTTCTAGAGGCGCTTTTATCGACGAAACAGGAGTCGGAGCCTGCAGGCCTGTGCGCCTAATGCAATTCATCGCTCGTGCTGGCGATCTCGACTCAAGCCGACACGGTTTTCCATTCGAGCTGTAAAACGTCTCACCGGTCAGAAGCAGCCGCGTGTCGCCCTGACGCCAACAGGCGTCGCGGAGCGGCGCACGCGTCAGCAGCCGACGCGGCCGGCGTGGAGCGTCGCCGCGACTAGGTTAGGTAAGGTCGCAATGACGCAACGCGCAATTGGACGCGACGCCGGGCTCCTCGCCCGATCGCGGGGCGATCCCGCGGCGATCGATGGTCGCGAGCGCGCGACCAGCGCGCGTACCCGCCTGGTGCGGCTCTCTTACCTGATACGGGACGTCCTCGCCGAGCTTGCCGCGTGTCGCCGCGACGTTGAGCGTGAGCACGCAGCACTTGTCGGCATTCCACACGTACACCGCGTTGTCGCGAATCTCGAGGATGTTCCGCGTCTCCTTGGCGCCGCTCGGCAGACTCGCCTTGATGTCCCGGAACAGCGTCTTCTCGTTGAGGCGCAACAAGTCCGTGCACGACGACATCCCGCGTGCCAGGCCGCTCCGCGTCGTCTCGAGGTTATGGCGGCAATGCGCGCGCCACGCCGCCACACGGCCGCGCCAACTTCAGGCCGCAGGCCTGCTTTTCGAAACGACCGTTGCTCGCGCGCGCGCGCGCGGCGGTGGCGTCGCTTCGCTGCAAGAGAGTCTACGCGGTTTGAACGGCGCGACGCGATTTCGCGCGGACGATCGCTCGCGCGAAATCCTCTCGCGAGCGTCGCAAAGGGATCGTCGGCCCCGTCGGAGTCGCACGGAGCTGCAGCCGCCGCGCGAGACGGCTATCGATCGCCGGCGCGGCCGGTTTGCCGCGGGATTGCGGATCCGGAGCGATCGAAACGTGCCGCTTTCAGGGCAAGATGGAGTCGGGCCGATCCGCCGGATCTACGAGCTCGAGACGACGCGGTAGGTAAGCGAGCTGTTATCGCCGATAGTAGGCGTGTTTGTTATGAAAACGAGACGCACGTCGGTTGTGCCGAAGCAAAACAATCCGGCGGCGGCCGCGGCGCACGCGCCCGCCGCAACGGCGGCTGATATTGTTTGTTGATCAGCTACGCGTCTGTTTGCCCGTCGTCGATTATTGTTGCGCGTGCGGCTCGCATCGCGGGACTGCGAGTACGAAAATAGAGGAAAGTCGCCTATTACGGGATAGGTTTCCAATATGAGACAGCGAACTTTCGACGTTCAGTTTCCAAATTCACGGGGGAACCAAATGGTGTCCGTTACTTTAACGGAAACTCCGCTGTCTCATATTACAAGGCTATCTCGTAATAGGGGACTCTAGGGGTTTGTTTTCTGTTCCTGCACTGGTGAACTAGTGCAGTAAGCTAGAATGAGAAAAAATATGCTTGTCTTACTCCAATTTATTGCACTAGTTCACTAGGGTAGGAACAGAAAACAAGCCTTAGGTAACGAAGCGTACAGTGATGGACAGAATGTTGCGACACCTTTTTTAAATGAGTTCAGGTACGCATTTAGAGTTCAGGTTTATGCTCCAAAACATCTTTCGTAAGATTTTACTCGAGAAATAGACTGGAAACGCCCGAAATTGTTTCGGTTGGTCCATCGATTCGTGTAAAATATTTCTCGAAGACGAAGATTTCGGAACATGACCCTGAATCTAAACGCACGTTCCTAATCTCGTTAAACAAAAGTGTCGCAATTACTCTGTCCATCACTGCACCGGTGGCGAATTATGTTTATTTATTGCGGTATCAATTTTGTATTATCGCGAATTAACATTTCGTTGTTCTTCGTATTACGGGACACGTAAAGCCTAATAATCTACAATGCGCTCTTTGCATTTAGAAACTTCCTATTTTGTAGACAATAAATACGTTTAAAAAATTTTTGCAAGTTGATAAATTGTACATTATACATTGTACAATTGTACATTGTCGACAAAGTTTTCAAGCGTTTTGATTTGCTGGTATAAAATAGAATGTTTCTAGACGCAAAGAGCACATTGTAGATTAGGCTTAAAAGTCAATCGAAATGTGCACGAACGTGCGTAGAAATGTAATTAGGTCGAGCTAAATTCCGTTATTTCGATTTTTAATGTCGCGACGTATTTCCTGTGGTGGATGAAAAGAAAAAAAAAAGGTTCGAAGCAAACCGTAAAACAACTCTCTTTGCTTCCAGGCCCCGGAGGGATTCGAACCCTCGATCTCCTGTTTACTAGACAGGCGCTTTAACCAACTAAGCCACGGCGCCGTTGCAGAGAGGTAAAGTACCTACTCTTTATGAATGTATCTGGGAAATCTGGACTTTGCGCTTCGGTTTAAAAATTGAATTGTACTGCCTGTGATACTTTACATTGCGTCCGTTTTCTTGCGCGCGTTGTACACTTTTCGGCGCGTTATACGCGTGTCACGGCCTCTGCCTTGGGAAGTTGTCGTTTGTATCACGTGAAAGATACAAAATATGTATAATTGCAAAAGGTAACGCGCGTTCGCAAGTGGTGGTCGAGCTGAGGTTCAATTATTTCCTATTATCTTTCATTAAATAACACTAATAAATTATACGTAAAACAGATGGTGTGAGATACGGGGAATGCAATTTAATAAATATGACCAATTTAACTTTTAAATTTTTTTCAGTGTAAATTTTGCATTTTTTAACACGAATTGTAAGGCGACGCTAAACTTTTTCGAACTTGAGTTAATTTATCACGAATTTCTCTTCTATAATTACAAACTTTAATGTATGAGAAGTTCAGTTTTTATCGATTAAAATCCCCGTTTTAAAAATTAATTGAGTTTAAAGTCTGCGAAATTGCTTTAAATTATTATTGTTTGGATGCGATTGAACGTTATTCGTGCAAAAAAATTGTATGCAAAATATAATCGCCCCCGGGTGGGCTCGAACCACCAACCTTTCGGTTAACAGCCGAACGCGCTAGCCGATTGCGCCACGGAGGCCGATGATCCGAACGTTTCTAGTGAACGATAAGATTCCTCGTCCTCTCTTCACGTAATTAAAATTTTTTTGTTATATACGTTTGACGTCTTTTTTATCGCAAGTACGCACTACGCACATATTATTATTTTATACACGAATTATTCTATACAACGGTAATATTTGAGAAAATCAGAGTCAGTCGAGGTAATTTTAAGATTGTTGCGATAACAAAATGTTGTTTGTCGTGAAACCTGGCGATGGACATAAAATCATTATAATTAGATTCGCAATCGTTAGAGGAAAAGAAAGAGTTAAAAGCATTCCGTTTGACCTCGTTCGCTATCTCTTTGTGCAGAAAAAAAAACGGGAGTAAATGTATCTGAGATCTGCAAATTGCTCGGTGCATGCATGCGAAGTGATTTGCAATTCATTTTCCGATAACGGCCGACGATGAATTGCGCACGGGCTCTCCGTTTCTGGAATACCACTACCAGTAAAACGCACGTTCGCATCTACCCGGCGGCGCGCCACGATACAAATCGAACAGATGTGTCGACGCAAGAAAGCGGCCCCGCGATGAATTATCGCAGGTTCGCGTTGGAATAAATTCGTTATAGTCGCGGCCGTGCGGCTGCGCGCGGCGCTGATACGAGCGTATGTGTAACGGGAAATAGTCCGGCACAGTCGCATCGAAACTGTACACGGTTAATTAAATGGGGTCGGCTCATTAGTAACTGTCTATATGCAAGGCGATGGGCGAGACGCGATTGGAGGGTAGTCCCAGGGTGATTTATCCGTCACGATGGATCGCAGATGTTCGACTGGTACGCGCGACGCGGGTCATCACAATACCGTAATTAGGGCGATGGCGCGCCTATATGTATGCACAACGAAAACGCACGTGCCGCTCAGATGCATAATATGTGGGTTATAGAAAACGGTCGTTTTACAATAATTCGTTGCTCCTCCGGTTGGGACTGGCGAGAATTTAAGGCGCGTTAATCCCACGAATAACGCGAGCCAAATTAAATCGGTTTTCGAACGGACGAGTTCCCAATCGTACACGGGCAGATATTTCTGTTAAAGTTTACCTTGAAAATCGTGTAATCGCGAGACGACACGGTATTTCGAAGAATTTTACCATTCATTTTATTAGCAAATATAAATTTTACTAGTAAAACGTGTGATAAAATTTCAAAAATTCTCAGAAAGTTTTCCAAAATGCCACGTTGTCCCACGATTACATGATTTTCAGGGTAAATTTTAAGAGAAAATTTCCTCCGCGTGCGCAATCTATTTTTATGTTATTAGAAATATCCTTGTTGAACGAGAAAACATCGAGTATTCCTAAACTCGGCCTACGGCCAACTGTGTAATTATTGACGGAACAAACGATCGATCGTTCAGTAACTTGTTCATAAATCGATGCGCATCATCGCCGCGAGACTCGCTCTTAAAGATCTCCGTCGGAAGGAGACCTTCCGGTTCGGCCATGGTGACACTAACGGTCTGTTTAAATTGTGTGTTTAATTACACAAGTAAGAGACAGTCGCCGCGAAATTTATCGGTCACTGTTACCGTCCCCTTCGTTCCTAATCTACGTAGCAGATATCCACACTAAACAGCGGAGAACATATCCTTCGCCTGCAATAAGACGCTTCTCATTGCTTTTTAGTGTCTCTTCCCAGAGAAGCAATTAGATTTATCAAGCGCGCATATAATTTACTGATATTACTGCGATAGTTACGGCCAATGTAATGCCGAGTATGACTTGTAACGCGTTAACTTATGATTACGACGTGCAAGAGGTTTTCTGTTAACTGTGAGAGCAATCACACGTACCAACCTGTAAAACATTCTAAAGAAAGTAACAGCGACTTTCGATCTTCGAAAATATCGTGCCACGTAAATGTTTCAAGAAAAGAATTGCGTTATTTATATTTATATATTATTAGAGGAGTCTCCTGTTATGGGATAGGCTCCTAATATGAGATAGCGGGGTTTCTGTTAAATTAATAGACATTATCTGTCGATTCCACTATGAATTTATTGCCCTTGGAGCGAAATCTGTTTAGTGAAAAATTCATTCTTAGATTTGTGATTAAAGCTGGGTATTAAAAACCTGCTGTCTCATAATAGAGGACTTAATAATTTTTCTATCGTACCTCGGCGAGAGGCACGGAATTTTCTCTGCAGTTGAAGTTACTTCTGAAGCTCTTTTTAATTATCGAAGAATTCTTGTTGCACAAGATCGAGTACTTATATCTATATATCTACGGTTAGAGAATACACGGATCTCGTTTCTTATTGGATAGGAATTTATGGCCATAAATCTAACTGGTTCTCGTCGAGAGGTTGAGCTTCCTCCTGGAAGTTTACAATCCCTCGTTCTCTCTATCCTGTAACCAACATCCGCTCCGTCTCTCTTGTTCGCGTTTTCCACCCCTTCCCGGCGCGGAAAGCACAGTACTTTACAGGCCGTGGTGGGTGTCTATGATGAAAGTGTGCACGTTCTAGGATATACCGAACTTGTAACGATGTAACGGGTGAGCATTGCACTGAAATCATGATGAATTCATTCAGAGTGCGAATTAACGTCCGGTCGGGGGGGTAAGTTTCGCTAAATGCCCGGAAGAGAGAACGCACGCGAGACCGGTGATCATCAATATTCCATTATGGTAAACCAAAGTTGAGATTTAGCAAATTTGTTTGCTCAAGAAATCAACAGGATTTATTAAACGTTTCACAAGCATAACGTCCCGGTTTGTTATATATATATAAATATCTGTCGACTACAGATCAATATTCTTTATATTATAATTACATTTATTTAACACATTTTCTTACGTTTTGTTTGATGTAATTTAATTATTTAATGTCCCGAGGGAATTAGCGGGCGAGAAAATGTCTAGAATACGCCTGTAGATTAATGAAGACGCTATTTGCACTTTTGCTAAAAGTAATTCGAGCGGTAAAAATGCTTCACGTGCGTCTTATAAAAATATTTCGTAAAGACGTAAGATTTGTTTACGTATTAAAAGAATCAAGTTGCATTCAAAAAGTATAATTGCAGAGGAAAACCGTTGAACGTATCGATAGTCGTGACGTAACAACTGTTATCGTCACGGCCTCGCAAGTATGACGTTTCTCCGCGCTGTTCTTACGGCTCGCTTTTCCCGTTCAATCAACTAATGGCCTGCAGAATGAAGAGCACGGCAGAACAGATCACGAACACCCGGTAGACAATACGTCTTGGCACTCGTAGGTCATTGTGGCGTTGAAAGGGAGTAACTTATAGGGGCATTGGGAATTACCAGTTTATTATTAGGGAGATAGCATAGAGGGCCAAGATCAGGGGTTGCTGTTAATTCTCCTAACACTTGGCTCCCCGGAGAGAACACGCTGCCTTAAGACTTCCTCCTTCCCGACCCATCCCACTGCACGGCCGACATCTTGAATCGCTGCCGTGTTAATTAGTACGACTTTAAACGCGCCCGCATGCGGTAGCAATCGGGATTCCCTGAAATGGTTTCGGCGCTACCCTCTGGAAGATGTTGAGATTGATATGCGATCTCGGGGCGAAAAAAATTTATTTGCGCGATTGCGATACTCCTGCAAAATTCAATTCCCAGCGTGACTATTACGTCTCGTCATGTGACTTGTTTCGCGATCATACGGATGATAAAATTTTATTCGACGCTTTCTTTCCTCCAAGTTGTTTCTGAAAGAAAGTATGAAGAATTTGGCGGCACGCAATTGCGCTGTGGTTAAAAGTTGTACTCTTCTACATTTTTACTCTAGATTCGTTAGTACGGGAAACAATCTATTCTGTAGGGAGGGAAACCAACATTGGTAGCGATTTTTGAAAAGCACGCAACACTGCCTGACATTTTCGATGAAAATTTAAGAATTCGTGATTCATAAAACACTTTCGCATAGATTGATACAAAACCATCTTTGACTGAATTAATTATTCAGCCTTTCGTACGTGCCTCGTTCCTCTATATATGAGAGGAGAGGATAAAATATCTTTCGCCACCCTCTTTAATCCGGATACGAAGGTGAAACATTTTCGGAGGCTCCGAAAGACGAGTCGGCAAGGCTTTGACGTATGGAGGACGTCAGTTGCGGGCTGGCACGATGGTGTCGTCGATTCGTCTTCCCTTTAGCCGCCACCTTTCGCGAATCCTTTCCGTTCCGCTATCCTTTACGTTATATAAATGGTGCCCGCGTCTGGTAGCCGCTGGTAAAATTCTGTCGGCCTCGCCACAGATTGTTCTATTTTCGGAGCTCTTCGATTTATCAATTGGTTTCTTCGGGTTCCTCCAGAGAATGGATCTTCTAAATTTAGCTCGACGCACTAGTGGCGAGCCGAATAAAGATAAAATGTCGACGTGCGGTCGCTGTTTACGTTGATTTCGCGCTTCTTACCGTTAACTTTGTGCCGATAAATCTAGAAAAAGTGCGAGGAAGAGAATTTTGATAAATATTATCTAGTAAATGCCCTTTTCTTTAAAAGCGATTTTCGATACGTTTGTGATGAAAAGTCTATTTTTCGCAATAAATTAAGAAATTAAAATCATTGAGACACTAACATCCTGTCTTAGCTCTTACATCTTTCATTACTTCGTATTTGTGATTTCACGTCAGAGCCTTATGAATTTTATTTGTCTATATTTTAATTTTAATGAAGGAGCGATATTGATCGACATAATAAACGGCCGCGTGGTAACGTGGGCATAAGAACGATCGAGATCGCGGTTTGCATAAACGTTTATAGGTTTTCACGTGCCGAAAAG